CGAGGTGGTTGCAGTTTTGACTTGGGAACTTACTACCACCACATAAGGGAAGCCTTCCTGTAAAATTAGGAAGGCAGGAGCTGATTTGTGTTTCTAGTGCAGCAACTGCCCCAAATGACATATCTCAATTGATGAAACTTGTTGGATAAATTAATTAAATTAAAATGCAGGATTATAAAAATAAAAACTGTCATTAACAACTATTTTTGTAAGTGTATAGTCTATTACTACTAGAAAGAGGTTATAAGATAGTTTTGCCCCTTTGAGTTGTATCAAATGGGAGACGCCAAATTTATAGCCACAAAACAATTAAAGAGTGAATAGCTGTTCAAATGAGGGGCAGGTAATAATCTCAGTAGGCTTTGGGACCAGTCTGGTTGAATTCACTTGGAGTCCCAGCAAGATTAGGCTAGAAGAACTGCTTGGGGCCACCTTGGAAGGAGGCTGTAGCCATAGCTGGCAGTTTAGTTGTGGTTTCTTATCAAATGAGAGAGGTTCAGTGTTTGCAGAACTGGAGCAAAAATGAAGGCATCATTAAAATTGTTTATGGATGAATAATGAAATTAGTTTACTGAGAAAATTGTGCAAAAGCTATTATTTGATCATTCAGATATCTAAAGCATGACTCCTTACAAAACAATTTCAGACTTTCCTTTCAAGCCCTCGGTAGATCAGGGGTTATTAACAGAAGTTCTACAGCAATGGGATGTTAACTCTGGAAACCGCTGACATTCATTTTTCTCTCTCCTTAATGGAATTGTAAGTTTCATACCAGCATATTTCATTAAGACACCAAACAAGATTCAAAGAATGAGCTATATTTCCAGGCCTATTATAGCTGCCATTCCAAACAAAATATGTATGACTTCTACGATTCACTAAGCACAAGTGTGTAGTAATATGCCCTTTAATGGCCTCTCAAAATGACAGACCAAATGGCTTTGTGAAGGTCAAGTCTGATTTAAATTGTTGATGAATTAATAGCTAATTCTGCATGATTGAATATTAATATGGAACGGTGATAAGTAAGGCACTTTAAAGCTTAATGAGCACATTAATGAATAGGACAAAATGTTTTTCTACTCACCTCATGTACAAGTTTAAAGCTACTAACATATTGACAATGTGTTAATTTTTGATAGCTGCTTTTTTGCTGTAAAAGTTTATATGGTTGAGGTATAAAGGGTATTGATCTCCCCGCCCCCCCCCCCAAGTTCCTGGTACCAGACATTTGATAAGCTGTCAAAATTGATGTTATCCAATGACCTAGGCAGTTTTACATAAATCACTAATAAATGTAGAGGATAAAAAAAAAAAAACAATTAACATCTTCTAAACTACACCCACTGAGATAAGCATTCCAATTAGAAATTTCATTATTTCCACAGTTTGTTTTATGTTGAATACTGAGCTTTATTGCCAAATACCTGACAGTCAAATTGGAAACAAGCCACAACTGTCAACGTGTAACTGCTCCGGCTATTTGAATCTGTTACAAGTGTGATGTTTCTCATGAAAATTTAATGAAGAAAGTGCATGCAAAGAGGTTCTGTGCAAAAGGGGGTGGCTAGAATTTAATTACCCTTATTAAAAATAAGAAAGCAGCCCTCTTTACATTCTCTGTCTGATTACTATGCAAGGAAGATTATCTTTGTTGTGCACTTGTGGATATGGAAAGGGGCTCTGGAGTGTTCTTTATGTGCCGAGAAGGGAAAGGAAGGGCATGCAATTGCATTAGCCTGCTTTCCATAGGGCAAAAGTCAATTTTGTCAGCTCTCCCCATGGTGAGGACTTCATTTCTTATAAACGGTTATTAATTCTAGATTTTTTTTCTAAGAGTCTTTAGTAAGTGGCTTGACTTACTTAAGTCTTTGACACTTGCCACTGATGGGCATGAATATTGGCTTGGTTCTTTAGAGAGATGAACTGGTAGAGAAGGAAGGACTAGGAGAGCCATGTACATGCATGTCTGTGGAACTGCTAGTGAACCACCAAGGGGAGGTAAGAGACCTCAGGAATCCCAGCCTGATTTCTGATTAACGTAAGTTGGTTGTTTTAAATATGGAAAATAACAACAAAATGTCAGCGTTTTCCTCAGAAACTCACTTGTACGTGACTAAGGTAGTGGAGTTGACTTTGGAACACCTGAGGTAAATTATTTTTATCCTTTGAATCATTTTGTGTCAATAACTGCCGAGTGAGATGCTTAATAGTATAATGAATGTGGTGCAACAGCTATTGATCTTTTTCTCCTTTTTTTTCTTCAAATAACAAAAGAACAATGCTAGAGATGTAAATGCATTGACAGAACCTTTAAAGCCATGAAGAATAGCTTGATGAAATAAGTGGAATAGGTTATTAAAATCCGCGTAGCCTAATTTGCAAAATGCTGTTTATGCGACATGTGAGTTTTAACATTCCCTTGGAGCCCTGAAAAATCATCTCGAAATTCCATCTCTAACCACTGTTGCTGAAACTTGTTCACTGTAGACCTCCTCTTGGCTGACAATGTGTAAGCATTCAGAGAAACCGAATACATTACGGTTTCTTAAAAGAGCCCTGTCTTTCAGCCTAAGTAAAATGTAGCTCTGTGAAGTGAACTAATTCTATATATTTTTAGTCTCCTGTCCTAACTAGCTGATGAGATAGTAAATTATTCTCCAGGGAATTCATAGGTCAACTCGATTGCCTCAGCTACTTCTCTTGGTCTGTGGTAGATCTCCAGAGTCTACACGTTTTCCTATTAGACCCTCAGTTTTCTCCTACAATAATCTGGACTGGGTGTTCTGGGCATCTTCTCTTTCTTGGGAGCTGTATTCTTTGGTAGTGTTTTGACATTCTTTCACTATTCACCTTCAAAACTCTCTACTCCTTAACCATTTCTCTGACCAACTCTTTACCAGAAGTACTTTCCTATTACGTACAGTAAAAAATCCTCTTTTAATTGTGCAATGTATCCATACATGGACTTGAAAATACTGGAGCTTCTCCTAAAATCTGGCAATCCAGACTAGCTTGATCAATACAAAGGAGACCCAGAATAATTCACTGTATGGAGGGGTAAACTGATGCTAGATAAAAAGTACAAGACAGATGTAGGTACTGACTTGTATGGAAGCTCTGAGGCAGAAAAGATTAAATACATTTGGGAGAGTTTCAAAAGGATATGCGGGGGAAAAAAGAAGACATATATACTACTATTTATAATAACTTAAACAATAAATTTAACAAAAAAAGAAAGAAAAAAGGATCTGTAAAGAAGGGGATTTTGGCTGTGTGGCCTTCAACAGACAGCATTTGTCTGGAAAATGGTGAAAACTTCAATGCAGGCATAAAAAAATTTCCTATGTAGGAGATCATCCATGAGAGGCTGGGAAAAACGGGGCCCAATTTAAAAGAACTTTGCTAGTCAGATTTCGGAGATTGAATTTACCCCAAAGGTATAGTGGGGTGATGGTGGAGAACACATAGATTTGACTGAACTTTATGGGGGCCTCAAAACGGAGCCTTTTCCCTCGAAATTGTACCTCACTTAGACTTCAGCAAGACCACAGGATTATACCAGAAATTGTAGAAGGCATTGAAGGAGAAGCCACATCTGATGATTTCTAATGTTCTGCTCACTCGTGTTTGTGCTTTTGAGTCATTTTGGAATTGGTGGCTCATGAAAATTCATCAGAAGTCATGAAGGAGTGTTGATTAAATTAACACCAGGCTCAATCGGAAGTCAAAATGTTTCAAAGTGGTCTTTAAACAAACAGCCACGTTGTAATTTAGATAATTATCACCCATCTAGCTAAGCTCCCTTCCCTGTTGGAATAGAATGTATCTTACCTTTCTAATGCTGGCTGGAAGAGCTGGCAATGTAGGTTATGGATGTGGGCCACGCTTGTGGATTTCAGAGGATTTTATTTTCTCAAGATCTAAGGTCTGGGACAGTTTTGATGTGGGATATGGATAAGTGAACTTTGGATGAGTTGAAGATTCAAAATTTAGAAACTTCAACTTTTTAATGACCAAAAATGGTGCAGACCTTTCGAATGGAGAAAAGTATTTTCTTACACTAAGGTGTTGCTTTTGTTCTTTTCTTCTTTGGAAACAGAAACTCTCAATTTTTTTTTTCTGGTGAATTGAAACTCCCTACAAAGGAATTCTTTTAAGTTGAACATCATGCTTGTGAAAAACATATATAGTTTTACTTAAAAGTTACAAAAACATTTATCAGATTTGAATATACAGTGTGGCCTTGACTTATGAGTTTAATTCGTTCTGTGACGGAGCTCGTAACTCAAATTACTCATATGTCAAATCTTAAAGTGAACGAGTGAGACAGGTGATGCTGGGCTGATGTTGTGGCGTTCACTGTGACGTTCGCTGTGCCAACTAGCAGTGGGGTATCTGAAGCTGGCTCGTAACCCGAATTTTAGCTCACAACTCAAAGCAAAAAATCGACCGAGAGATGGCTCGTATCTCGAAAAACTCGTTAGTCCGGACACTCGTAAGTCAAGGCCCCACTGTAGATAGTTTAGCCTACATAATCTGCTTGCTTTTCAGGTACCTGCTAATCCGGCCCTGCTGGGTTTTTCCTCAAGAGAAGTTTCCTATCTTAATGCCTACACTTGTGATAATCCCATCTTTCTGGCCAACTCAACGCATTCCTAAAGGCCCATTTCAGAGCGTCCTCTTGGTGCTCAGTGACCTCCTCAGGCAGCCATTCTGCAATTACTTCTCCCTCTGAGCGATGCATCATTTTAACAGGGTCTTTATCAAATGTGTCTGAGCTCTTTGCTAAGTGGTTGCTCTTAACTTAGACTGTCTACTCTTCTGGCCAGGATCAACATTGTGCCTGTATCCTAATCTCATAATGCCATGTTGCCTGGTGTGTGTTAGCTTCTCAGCAAATGCTGAGTATGGTAAGGGGGGAGATTAATGGGCAATATCTCTTTAATCTTGGGCATCTGACTTACTAACCTAATGAAGTATCACCTTTTGTTTTGCAGAGGATCAAATTCCCAGGGGCTTTCCTACCATTGACATGGGCCCACAGTTGAAGGTGGTTGAGCGTACACGCACTGCCACCATGCTTTGTGCAGCCAGTGGGAATCCGGACCCGGAAATCACTTGGTTTAAAGATTTCTTACCTGTGGACACAAGCAACAACAATGGCCGTATTAAGCAGTTACGATCAGGTAGGGTCTTGTTACTGTTTCCACTAACTCCTAAAGATTTTTTTTTCTTTTAGCTTTCTCTCTCTTTATTTTTAATTTAATTTATTTTTATTTTTTAGGTATTGATTTTTCTCCCTCTTCTCTTTCTCTGTTATTTAATGTGTTGTCCATGTTTGTGATGTCATAGCCCGTTTCAGAGTCTTTCTCCTTCTCTCTGTGTGTTTTGCAGCTTCTGTTTAATCCACATTGCTCACTGCTGTGACTGTATTTTTGATAATTTTTTTAATTTACTGCTATTTAGCAGTATTTGATGGATCCATTTTCTCTTTCTTTCTTCTTTCTCTGTTTTCTTTTGAAACAAATTTATTTCAACATTGGACTTCATTCAGAACTTGCAAGGAGTTCCAATGGTTATATCCATTTAAAACCAAAATGTTCATATGAAACACTAAAATGATTCAATTTTATTAAAGTGTGTTTTCTCTGTCGTCCCTACATTTGAACTCATCAAGAATACCAAAGTTTAGTAAGTTTGGTCACATCTTTCTTTCCACTAATACATAAAACACAGAAATGTTATATCGTGAGTAACCAGATGTATTATTTTTTTAAAGTTTTAACAAAGAACCAATGAAAGGAGGGGATTTTTTATTAATGTTATCATTATTATATTCTCGTGAGTGAGCATATGTACACCTTTGCCACAGTAGTGTGCGCCCACACTGAACATTTTTGAGCCCTCCAGTGACTGGATCTACAGAAGTCTGCTCTGGGTGTAGACTCCAGCTTTTGCTGCTTTCTCTCTCTCTTTCTCCCCGTTGCCCTTTCCTCCCACCCCCATCTCAAGTTTATTCCTCTGTTCTCTTTAGATTAAAAATAGAGATAATTCTAAACTTCTTAAATTGTACAGCCTGTCCCTAGGTAATCTCGTAGGGACATTTACTAATAAGCTGTTTACTTTGACATTGGTAGTAATATTGGTATAGAATTCTAAGTTGTTTGACTGCCTGTCTTCCCAGAATTCTCAGCTTTTGACCTGTCCTGTGATGTTAAAGCGTCTTGTTAACTGCCTCTCTTTGCTTGTTGTCAGCAGAATTGTGTAGATTAGCATTCTGTTATTGTAAATAAAGAATTAATTATTCACATGTAACATAGATGATTTAGTGTATAAAGCTTTAACTCTGAAAAAAATTGTACCAAATTATAAGGAATATAATAATATTTTTATGCTGTCTTTCTTCTCTCCGTATTTAAATCTCCAGAATCTATTGGTAAGTGCTTAGTTCTGAAGCGCACTTCACCCCCACTAATTTCCATATTCAGACTATGATGATGATTATTATTATTAATAAAATGCATGGCATGCATTTTACTAACTGTCAGTGTAGACACCAGATCTCCCTAGTGGCGTGCACACACACACACACACACATCCACAGCACTGTTTTCGTAAGAACACTATGTAAAAAAACAAAATAGTACACAAGTTATAATATCACACAAATGTAGCACAGTAAGTAGAGTAAGATATCCAATCAAGTGTTTGTTTCTAGTTAGTCTGTAGTATTTCCTATGACAGTATATATATATGCATATCTATATATATACTTAAATAGATTAGCCAGTATTTTCTAAATTGTCTTTAAAAAATATTATTGAGTCCGTTTATTTTTTTTCTAAGACTATGAGGCATATAAGATCAATTCTGACCCTATACGTCCCCAGACCTAAGTACTCAGTTGCTTCTCTGAGAAAGGCAATGCTGCCTATTGTGGTCTTGGCCCTCTGTGGTATAATGCAACTTGCTTTTATGATCTAATAATACTATCTCATATATTCCTGTTTTACCAGTATAGTAATTCAAGTTTCTTTTAAGACCTTATATAATTCTGTAAATCTAATTTAATTCTTCTCCCCAGCCCTAGCCTCCTCCTTCTCGTACTAATGCTTCTTCTTTCTAATCTTATTTGCATTCATATTATCCACCCAGGTGGTACACCAATAAGAGGTAAGAGTGCTGAACTAACGTTCACAGAATGATCTTACTCATTCTTTCTGTCCTTTCATCACTGTCATCTTTGTCCTGTTTTCAGAATCATTCCAATAATGTCCATCAACTTTATTATTATTTTTTTTCCTTTGTACTGTTTGGTTATGATCGGTGACTCTCATATTGTGAATTTTCCTTTCCTTTTCCTTTTTCTCTTTGTTTTGTTCATTTCTTTCTTTATGAAAATAATGATTTCAGTTGTGATATGCTTCAAAGAAAGCATATCCAGGTCTTTAGACCACAGACCAGTCACAGCGTACCATCTGTCCCTCTTTTTTTCCTTTTCTTCTTCCTTTTTCCTTTTTTGTTCTTCTTTTTCTTCTTTTTCCTTTTTTTTTTTTTTTTTTTTTTTTGTCCAACCGGAGAAAAAAAAAAAAGATCATTTTTTTCTTCCTTAGCTGTTCTTGTTCTGGACCAAAGCCGAGGTGGTCTGGAGAACAGTGGCAGACATGCAGAAGACAGCCCGGAACGTCTGCTTTTTGTCTTTATCTTTCAAAAGGTTTTTGCTTTTGTTCTTCGGTTCTTTTTTCTCTTACTGTCTTAAAAGTCAAAGAATGACTCCCCTTTCCGCCCGATCCCACTCGCCTCCAACCTGACAGCGATGCTTTTTTCCCCCCAACTTCTTTTTTTCTTGGATTACTCGCCTCTGGATTTTTGGATCTTCTGTCCTTCAGGCTATGGAAACCAAAGGTGCTCAGTATTCTTGGTGGTATGTTGTATTGCTGGTTTTTCCTACTTTGACTCAGTGTGCATTTCTTTTCTAATTCTTGTTTTGTATTTTTCTTGGGGTTTTGTGACACCACACTACTAATCCCACTGGTGGATTTTGCTGGGTGTCTTAGGGGATCCGTCCTGAGGTCCTCGAGCAGTGGTTCGCCGGCTCTTCCTTGCTGGCATAGGCCGTGCTTTTGAACTTTTTTTTAAAAAAAACCTTCTAATTCAACTACTCTTTGTTTTTCAGCAAACGTAATCTATGATTGTAAGTCGTGGCAAACTGTCTTTCTTTTCTTAAAAGTCTGCATGTCTTAAGGGAGTCTTGTTTCTTTAAGTGATATTTTCCTGATATATAATGACTAATTTTATTTTTTTTGCTTTGTGCAGCCTTTTTGTGCTCGCTGCGTATTTTTGGCTTTCTTCAGCGGAAGACTTTCTTGAAAACCCGGCCTGGTTTTTTTTGAGCGTGCCTATCTTTTGCGCCACTTTTGATACCAAAATGAAACAAAACAAAACCAAAAATTAATCTTTTGTTTGATTTAAAAGCCATACTTCCTTGAAGCAGTCTCACCCATCTTCATTTTATTAGTCTAGGAGATAAGAGTGTTAATTATGACTAGAGTTCTTGCTGGGGAAAAGAGATACTGTTTTCTTATGCTAGCATTGATGATGTTTAAAAAAAAATAATCTCTCTATGTTTTTCTCATCGCATCATTTTCTGTCTGTGCACCTTAGCGAGAGATTGAATCGACGTTGAGCGGACCTTCGCTTTGCAGGGCTTTGCATATTGTTAAGAGGTGTGGTTTTCTGGACTGAGAAGGCCTTCTCTGACCATCTCTTTGGCAATATATTTTATATCCATACAGGCGCCCTTCAGATCGAACAGAGTGAAGAATCTGACCAAGGGAAATATGAGTGTGTTGCCACCAACAGCGCGGGCACTCGCTACTCTGCCCCTGCCAATCTATATGTCAGAGGTAGGAATGACGTCACCCTGGCACCGGTTCTTCATTCAGGCCCAGGGGGAGCGGGGACACCCATGCCATCGGTGTGGTGACGTCGGCATTTAGCAAGCCGATTCGCTCATAGTTACAGTAGCTGAAGCGTTCTTAGTGAATAGAGAATTAAAAAGTTTAAATATGTTGTTACAAAAAATTAACCACTTTTGAATAAAATCTATCCCGAGGCTTGAAGTTTTGTAAGTATCTTTGCATTTTTACATCTTGATTTCTGTTTTGAACGCATTGTTTGAACTGTGCTTTGCATTTATTTGAGGTTTTCTTCTTTTTCTTTTTTTTCCCTCCTTCTGTTGCTGTTTCTCTTCTGTTTCCTTTTAAAACCCTGAAATAATTGCTTGGTGTGCTACTAATCAATTCTCTGTGCAACTCCAAGCATAAAGGTATTTATGTCTTCAGGACCTCTGCTTGGAGCTGTAAGAATAAAGCTTCTAACTTAAAAAATAAAACGCTACATGCATATAGCACATTGTATTTTCTCCCTTCTTTTATGCTTTATTTATAAACATATGTCATTATGTATGTGCATATGTCTATGCATATATATATGTATATATATATATATAGACACATATTTTTTTACATTACTGATTTTCTCTAAAGTTTGATTTTTTTGATTGGCATGGAACACTGATTATATTTTTAAATGAGGATACATTCGTATGTTCTTATAAGTTATAGAAATGATTAAATTTTGAGCTTATGAATGGCCATGCTTTTCATTTCACCTAGAAAGAATTATTTCTTCTTCCCTGGCGTTTTCAAAGCCGATTCATGTAGTTTTTTTGTCCAGTAGAAATGCTCTGATTCCAGGTCTACATGTCTATGAATAACCACAAAAGGTGTGGGTGGGGGAGGAAGTAGGTAAAGGACTGAGAGGGCGTTAAGTTACAGCAGGGTGGGTTCCCTTAGGAAAATATCTAGCTTGATTTTGAAATTTTTGTCTGAGATAATTTTGTTTCCGTGGGGGTGCTTTTCTCTCCCATGTTTCTCTGGAGTCTAAGGTGGGAGAATATGAAGGAAACCATTTCTTCCCCAAGGTCTTTGAAAGC